CTATCAACGAATTTGCCTCAAACACAGCTAGACAGTTTGCCAAAACAAGCTGATATAAATGAAACGAGATATAAATAAATTAGTATATTATTGAAATCGAAATAAAGAAAGAAAGAAAAAAAAAATATATATATATATACATATATATATATTACAAGCTACATAAAAATAAGACGAGGGCGCACGCGGATATGAAAGAAAACAAAAGATAAATGACTTCTACACCTTAAAGCGCAGGTATGTGTGTAATTATAAAGGATCGAAATATATTGTCCTACGGTAATATTCAACAGCAAATTCTGTACATTATCGATCTACCTTCCGACGGACGTTTCACTCGGGTACTTAAGTGACTGTTATTCGATCCAAGCTAAATCGCAACGGTGTTACTTTAATTGTCGTCTGCCAGTACCACACGAACTCCCCTACCCCGGCGAAATGATTTTCGATACCTGCATTTTTGTATATACCACGACCTAGTTATGTAAAGTGATTCCACACTATTATACGAAGAGCATTATTGTTCAGTATCTATGTAAATATGTAACTGCCTAAATACGAATAAAACCAGAGGATATATCACTGCACAGTACCTTAATTAATAATTGATCGGATCTATATTTATTGCTCTTGATTAATTGACAACGATGGTAAAGTGGTATTAATAATTGACCATATTAAACTCTAAACCTACGTATAAGCAATATAAAATGATCAAAATTGTTAACAGAATCATGGCAGAAGTTTCTCCCATTAATCCGTCAAACCCCATCTCTGAAGCACTTCCTCTTGACTAATTGGCCAAAGGTTCTTCAACAAAACCCACCCAGATTTCTGTGTGACAAGCAAATAATCGTTTTGCGGATCATTGAGATAGGAATAAGCGCCCATGACCAAGCTCTGACATATCCTCGCGCAGACGGTGACCTTTAAAATCTTCTTCTCCAGATTCGTCAGTTTCCTGATATCTTGATACCCTTCGATGACGTACTTTCCCATCGCTAAGTCTCCAGCCTGCAGCATCATGTAACAAAGAGTAATGGCGAGCTCAAAAATTAGGCAAGTCCGATGGGTATCACCAAAATCGATCACCGCCGTTACTTCCGTCCCGTTCGAGTTCACTACGATGTTCTGCTCGTTCAGGTCACCGTGGATGATCCCTTGCTCGAGCTTCGGCATCACTCGAAGAACGTCCTCCTCGAAAGCATGGATCACCTGATGAGCTAGATCCCTTTCGTAATCATTGCTCACCGCGTAGATGAACCGGCGCAGGTCAGGCACCGAGGTCAACATCCACAAGGTCTTATGATTGTCATACGCCGAGTGCGAGAATCCCTTGAGCACGGTGTCCAATTTACTGGTGAACCGACCGACGTTTCGAAGCAGTTCACTGGTGATTGACATGCGATTCAACATCACACCTGGAAGATAAACTAGAAGTCTAACCGCGTAGCTGTTCTCGTAACCCTGCACGGTCAACGTTTCTAAAGAGTAATACTCTCCCTTCACATTCTTCACTGGCAGGGGACAATTGATGTGTCGTTGATTCAGGAAGATCAAGATTTCATTCTGAGCATCTATCACACGACATTTACGCGAGTCCAGAGAGTTCACGATCTTCAATACATAACCATTCTTGCTGATGGTAGTCATGTGAGGATTTTCGTGCAGGTCCTCGCAAATCACGTGATAGTTTCTGTCATCGTACGCGTTTAATTCAGTTATTTTTATCGCCTTCAGCTTGTAGAGCTTATCTAAGAGAGCTAAAACTATCTGTTCGCTACCAGGCGGCCGTATCCGCTGCCCTGGCGTTAGGACTCCATCATTGGTCTCCATTTTGGTATCAATTCTGGAAACGTTCAAAATGAGGGCCTGGAATTGTTTGTTTTATCTTTAATCGCCGGTAATAATCCAACACGAGATTGTTGCTAGATCGTGCTTTTCGAAATCTTTAATTAATATTCTATGAATCCTCGTGTACATCAAACCTGGGAAGTTTGTGAATGAAAAGGAAAATGTTAACGTTACTGTAGCATTGTAAAACTTTTACTTTGTAGCATTATGCACGGTAAGTATGATTACTTACTTTTCTTGTTTAATAAACGAATACAGTTTTAAATGTATCGTAAACTGAAACGCAACGACTATTCACTTCCGGTTCGCTATTCAATTGCTTCGAAAACCATTAGCTCATCTTCAGGTTTTCTGTTATTGAAAAGAATACATTTATCTTATTTATATATATACTTGAAAATTAATAATCAATTACTATCATCTCTCACCTGGTCGAACTGTTTACGCCGCGATGTAAAAATTTTGTTTATTGCGAAACAAAAATATGATGTCTATAAGATTAATCAGATTCCACAGTTGTATAAATTTTGTCTACTTTGACTGAACACTTTTAGTCGAAAAGTAAGGCCACAGTAGTAACATACGTGAGATGTGCTACGAATAAAGTTCGAGAAGTGAACTATAGAATCGTCTCGGTAATAAATGCTGTTAACACTCAATCAGTTGAAATGGTAGGGCGTAAATGCACGATGATTGATGCTTATCGTGACTGATCACAGTATAAGAATAAGTTCTGTGTATATTTACTGATACTAAATCAAAACATTCTTATCACAACCGAAAAAGATAACAAAAACGCTGATATTAAATTACTATCCGCTAATAATGATAATATTATTCATTATTAAACTGTTTATCAGTACTCTTAATGTAAATAAACATACAATGTTATTTGAGAGCTTCTAAAATAAAATATGATTCATGTTGAAATACTAGTTTTTAATTGTTTAGCATTATATAAATCAACAGTACGCTTTTGTATAATAATTTTCATATGAAATTTATTTCGTCGTATAAATATCCAAATTTTTTACAAGTATTTAAAAAATATTATATACGTAACCAAAATACGAACATTGCCGAACTTGTGAACGAGGAATTCAAATTATTTGAAATGCCCGCCAAACATGCTTCTGTGCTGCATGTTCATTCTATTTTAGTATAAATCTCGAGTATCAAAGTTTTCATTTTTACACATACTAGATATTTTACGAGTAATGTTAATAAACATTAACGATCAGTCTAAGGAATACAAACTACATATTATACGAATATTTATAATGAATTAAATACAAAGGAATAATTTAATTTAATCAATAACAAACAGCATACTCTCATTTATGTAATACATACTCTTCGAAAGCTACGTCAAAACATAGTACAATCAGAAAGCGAAAGCCAAATTTCACAGTAAAACAATTTTTAAACAAAGTATACGAGTAGCACACTGTGATATGTCATGAATTATAAACCAATAGTAGTGAAGCATAAATATCAAGATTCAATCATCAGTTGTATCAATTGACCAATCAAATTGAGGAAGTCTTATTAAATTGCATTGCGTAATCTACAGTTTGCCAGTTCTATGGTGAAATTAATTTTTGCGGGAACTCATTGAACATATTCTCGTTATAAGTAATGAGACAACATCTTCTCAAATTGCTTAATACTGTATATTGTTCTGTGATTGTATCTTATTTATAATTCACAACTGGTAATTTTTATTTATATAAAACCATGGCTGTACAACCAAATCAGCAATTTCAAATGGGTTAGTAACACGTAATACAAATTTTGTAATAAATTTTTTATTTTATCATTATTCATAAATTGTATAATGTTTCAGATCCAGCTACTCAACAAAGTTTTATTAGATTTTTCAAAAATCTACCTGAGGTAAGCAAACTTATTAAATTATTACGACTGATACAGTTTACATGCAATTGGACAAAGAAAGGAAAATGTTGTTAAAAATATTTATTTAAATAAGAACACAATACGAAATAATTTTAAAATAATGATGTTCCATAATACTATGTGAACTTCTTGGTTTAATTAAATAATTAAATGATACCAATATATTACTAAATGACACTGATAAATAATTTTTATCCAATGAATTCAGTTAACATTAAGTATGCATTAATGGACAGTTTACGTACATTTAACCAAAGATATTTCTAGCTTTCTCTTTAGCTTTATCAAATGTATTTGTTATTTTATTTCCAATTCTTGCCCAAAATGTTGGGGGGGGAGTTGGTTCATTTATATCGGGCGACAAAGGTACTACTGGCATTGGAGGAGCCGTTGCTTCATAATTTGGCACAGCCACTTCTTTTGGCTTATCACGAATATCCCATGGGTCTGCACTACTAATTGGTGGTAAAGTAGCACTAGGTTTTGCTGTTACTCCATTATACATATCATTATCGTGGAAAGAATCGTAAGGTCCACCACCATAAGCTTGTAATATCCTTGGTTCCAAATGAAATTGAGATCCACTGCTTCCAACTTGTTTTTGTTCACCTTCAGGTTCGTTTAGTGTTGGTTGACTATATTCTAACTTACTTTCTGTTTGAATGTTATCTGTTTCTTTATCATTTTGTTGATATATCTTCGATTGTTCCTCCCCTGCATTAGATGATTGTTGATACAAATTTTCAAATATATATTTATTTTGAGCTTCCTGCTGATCCAAATTATCTTGAGTATGGTAAACGTCTGGGTTACTTGATTGTTGCTGTAGGTCTTCTTTATTCTTTTCATCTGTTTGTTGCACGAATGGCCTTCGATCACTGGGATGATAGGTATAATGCCACTGTAAACCTACAGTTGCATCATTAGACTTGTGTAACAAATTCCCTTGATCTATATTTCCTCCTTCAATATCAAATACATTACCTTCAGTTTGTTGATTTAATGTTTTATCATTATCCATGGATGTTCCAACATTTTGATCTCCTCTGATATCTTGATGTCCAGTAGCACCCATTGCAGCTTCTGTAACAACTTTTGGTGGTAATTCAGGAACCTTATCAATAGACTTATCTTCATTAACAGCATTCTGGTTTTCTACTGGTAAACTGATCACAGATCCAACTCTGGAATACCTAGACCTTGGCCTTGGCTTACCAGCAGGCTTTGGAAGTGGCGCTCTAGACACATGTTCATTAGGTGTACTTTTATCAATACCAGATACTTGTGGTTCATAGGAGTGCTGTGCATGTATGGGTCCCACAGAGGACTGTTGAGAGAGGTCTACTGAATCCTGATTGACATTTTCTGATTTCCAGTGTTGTGAAATATCTTGAGATTGTTGACCAAACTCGAGTTTTCCAGATGTTTGCTGGGTCAGATCATCAAATTCACCAGTTTGTTGAGTCATATCCTCTGAATGTTGATTAGCACTTCCAGGTCTCCATGGTTGATGACCCTGCTGTGATTGTTGACCAAATTCGAGTTTTCCAGAAGTTTGCTGAGTGAGATCATCAAATTCACCGGTTTGCTGAGTCATATCCTCTGAATGTTGATTACCACTTCCAGGTCTCCATGGTTGATGAGTCTGCTGAGATTGTTGACCAAACTCCAGTTTCCCAGATGTTTGTTGAGTGAGATCATCAAATTCACCAGTTTGTTGAGTTAAATCCTCTGAATGCTGATTAGTACTTCCCGAGGTCCAATGTTGAAAAGGATATTGAGATTGCTGACCAAATTCGAATTTTCCAGATGTTTGTTGGGTCAGATCATCAAATTCACCGGTTTGCTGAGTCATATCCTGTGAATGTTGATTAGCACTTCCAGGTCTCCATGGTTGATGACCCTGCTGTGATTGTTGACCAAATTCGAGTTTTCCAGAAGTTTGCTGAGTGAGATCATCAAATTCACTGGTTTGTTGAGTCATATCCTCTGAATGTTGATTAGCACTTCCAGGTCTCCATGGTTGATGAGTCTGCTGAGATTGTTGACCAAACTCCAGTTTCCCAGATGTTTGTTGAGTGAGATCATCAAATTCACCAGTTTGTTGAGTTAAATCCTCTGAATGCTGATTAGCACTTCCAGGTCTCCATGGTTGATGAGTCTGCTGAGATTGTTGACCAAACTCCAGTTTTCCAGATGTTTGTTGAGTGAGATCATCAAATTCACCAGTTTGTTGAGTCATATCCTCTGAATGTTGATTAGCACTTCCCGAGGTCCAATGTTGAAAAGGATATTGTGATTGCTGGCCAAATTCGAGTTTTCCAGAAGTTTGCTGAGTGAGATCATCAAACTCATCAGTTTGTTGAGTCATATCCTCTGAATGCTGACTATCACTCCCAGGTCTCCATGGTTGATGAGTCTGCTGAGATTGTTGACCAAACTCGAGTTTTTCGGATGTTTGTTGGGTCAGATCATCAAATTTATTTTCATCATTTGCATTCCGTTTGTATATAGAATGATATTGAGAATTTGTGTGTGTATGTTGGTCTATTCCATGAGTACAGTCAGCATGACTTCCTAGGTGGCTTAAATCATGTGCTCCAGTTGTCAGTTTTCCTAATTGTGTTTGATGTGCATAGTTAAAATTACCTCCGCGGTATCTGCTGTTATATTGTGCATTCTGCTCACTAATTTGTGAAATATCTGAAGTATAATGTGGTTCTGATGTTTCTCTTGCATGACTGGAACTCCATTGTTCCTTATATTGTGAAACTCTTCCTGGTGTATTTAAAGCTGACAACCGATGTTCATTATACAAATTTTGTTGCAAATTATCACCAGCCATTTGGTTGCGTCCAAGTGTTGATTGATGTGCACCCAAACGTTCTGTTTGCTGCAGCATACTTTCTTCGTTATATGTATTTTTATTGTAACCACTGTTTCCTGTGGTAATCACATTGGTATATCCTGATGTAGGATTTATATATTGTGTGGATGGCTGGACATTTGACACATGTCCTTCGCGTCTTTCATACATATTGTAACTACTTGTACCATAAATATTTTGAGAAGGATTTCTATGAGATGAATGTTCACTTGCAGTATCTGTATAATGTTGTTCATTACGTTGTAATGCGGATAAGTTACTTCCATATTGTGATCTACCTCTATAAGCGTTATTATTTATATTGTAAATATTATCAGTGTCCAAGTCATTGTTTGTATTAATATTTGTTTGCATAGTATTGCTAGATTGTACATCCCTCGTGGTAGATATGTGATTGTAAGCTTTTCCCATCTCTTTATGTAAGTTTTCTATTTCTTTATGTAAGTTATCCATACCAATTTTAGTAATACCAGAAACAGGGAGTCCGTTAGATGATCCATAACTGGAAGTGTAATTTCTTTTATAATATTGAACTTTTTTAGGTCCTGACATATATTGACCTTCTTCTTCAAACACTCGTCCGTGTCCTCCATCAGTTTTATAAGAATCAACTTTGCTCCAATTTCCTGATTGTGTATTGGTAAAAGAAGGCTGATCTGTAGCATGAGTATTTATGTTAGACGTGCCTTGCTGTATTACTTGCGAGTTTCCACTGTATTCTCCAAAGTCTTCAAGATTTTCACTTTGTGTATTAGTTCTTCTAATTGCGGATTGTGTACGTTGTTGACTCTGTATCCTATTATACCCATGTTGTTGTGCTACTAATTCCGAATTACCTACTTGGTTATATGTCCTTTGAGAGTTGGAAACATCTTCAGAATTAGGTACATAAATACCCTGTCTGTAATTATTGTTTAGCTCTTCAATATCAGATAATCTTGTATTGCTTGGATAGTTTGTATCATGCGAAGAATAATTCTTCTTGTAGTATCTTATAGTCTTATGGCCATTAGTGAATTGTCCCCTTTCTTCATGTACTTTTCCATTGTTTATATTGTATTCATTGTGTTCAGACCAAGTACCAGGTTTAGAATATGCAGGCCCTTGTAATTGTGATGCAGTTTGCGTTAAATCCCTATAACTCTGAATGCCAGATGATTGAGTTTCAAAATGATCACCATAAGTATTACAAGATGTAATACATCCACTTGGTGCACATAATACTTGTGTTGTTAATAATGATAAAATAACAATCCTTTGTATCACCATGTTATTGGCCTGGTCTCTGTAATGTAAGATATACATTCTAATTATTTGTTATCTTAAAATATAAGTAAAATTGTACTTCACTTTTTAATAAGTATTTAAAACCTTTATCTTATATATAGACTTACAATCATTGTAAATTGAGATTAAGTATTTAATTACCTTATATCAAAGACCAAAATTCACTAGTTACAAAACACAATTGATAGTTGAGATGTTCTCAGTGGCAGTGTATATTGACATCTACTATATGTAGATTGCAGCTAATTCCATTTATGTTGGTTTCCCCTTCTTTTTACCACATCTCTGAAAACATTCTTTCATTCTTACACAATGATAATGTTTGCTCTGCGTTTATTTCAGTTCATGTTCCATTCTTATCGTTACTAATAATTCACAGTAATAAATTAATTTCTCTGAAGCGTAATACTAAAAAATATATAGTGTTTACCTTATTTTGAACAGAAAATTTTATGAGGCATTGAGAGCTTCCTTTTTATATTTTTTAAAATTGAAACACCTTAAATTAATATATGTTAAATTAGATATTATAAATTATTTTCCAAAATTTAATTAAACAACATATCGAAGACTTCAATATATTAATAATTTTATATTCATAACAGAGTAAATTTTTACACACTCTCTTGATGTTAGATGCAATTGTTTGACTTCCAGGTAATGCTTATAAATAGTTTTCCATATTAGGATTGGTGTGTCATTGGTGAAGTCATTCTGTATGGGTAACATCCTTATTGCAATGTTTTAATTTACTATTATGTCATAATTAGTATAGCTTCAAGGTGCTTCAAGATTTTATTAAGTTTCTCTTTGATTCAACTTAATTTATTTTCTATTATTCATTTTAAATTCCTAATTAAGTAATTATGTACTTAAAAGAAATACAGCAGCATCTGATGTTTTTGTCATGGCCTACTTAGAATATTATATATTGCTGAGCTTCCTGGAATATGAACTGTGATATTTTATCGTAAGAATAATGAATAATACTTTCAAGATTCTGATGTGACCACAACTTTTACTGGAATTTTCTTAATCTCCCACCAATTCATTCTGCATAAACAATACTTTACAATACTGTTTTGCACTAAGCACTGCATTAATATTATAACATACACTC